AAAACCGTAAACCCCAAACCCTAAATCCAAAACCCTAAGCCCAAAACCCAAAACCCAAAGCCCAAAACCCTAAACCCTAAACCCAAAGCCCTAAATTGAGCTTGGTGACCTGCAAAAATCCCGGGCTCCCGGCAAAGCATCGGTGGCCACGGAGCTCCAGGAACCTTCGGCGTTCGGCTTTAGGCTTTATGGTTTCGGGTTTCGGGTTTAGGGTATAGGGTTTAGGGTATAGGGTTCAGGGTACAGGGTTTAGGATTTCGGATTTAGGGTTTAGGCTTTGGGGTTTTAGGATTTTGGGCTTAGGGTATAGGGTTTATAGGGGTTAGTGGTTCAGGGTTAACTGTTTCGGTTTAGGATTTCGGGTTTAGGGTTTTGGGGTTTATTGGGGTTAGGGGTTTAGGGTTAAGTGTTTTGGCTTAGGATTTCGGGTTTAGGGTTTAGAGGGGTTAGGGGTTTAGGGTTGAGTGGTTTGAGGGATTAGGGCTGTGGTGTTTGGGGTTTAAGTTCTAAGATCTAAGAAGGGTTCAAGGTTTAAGGGCTTCCCTAAACCCTAAACCCTAAACCCAAAAGTTTTCAGGCTTAGGGTTTTAGAGCCTTCTGAGAGGGTCGACGACGAGAGGATTTGTACGAATCGGCTTAGGCGCGCCAGAAAGGTTCCAGATGGCTTTTGTTTGCAGAGTTTTGCACGGTTCAGAATGGGTCGAGGTACGGGTTTAGGGTTTAGGGTTTTAGGGTTAGGGTTCATGTCGGGTGTCGTTATCGCAATCCCCTCAACAGCTGCATTAGTTGGGTCGATGAGATCTCTAAACCCTAAACCCCAAAACCGAGATCATCCTCCCCACAGTTCAGACAGATTGAAGGTTTTCTTGCTCTTCTGCTTGTATCCAGAGAGAATGTAACTTAATCGAGGAACATACCTGAAAATCTATATAAGGGGCTCGAGATTATGATTTAATGTATTCTATCTTCGATTTCCTCGATTAAGGGGTGCTGGGCTCACTGGGTAAACGGGAAACACAACGAAGGCCGCTGGCATAAGGGTTAAACAAAAAGGTGTAAGTAGTTCAGGCAGTTCAAGCAGACCCTATGAGGATATACGAAGCCTTCAACTGGGTTCTATTTAAGGAATTTAATTCAAGTGACCATACTAGGGATCTATATTTAGTAAATAATATATGGTTCCTTTTATTGTAGCAACTTAAAATAAATCCTTTAACAAGAACCCAGTTAAAGCAGGGATTCGGGCCGATGGTCTTGCTTTTATCGCGTTAAGGCTTCGTCTTGTTCAGGGTTTACGTTTTCCGGGGGTCTCATGTGTTGGGTTAACCCAACAACTCAGTGCCATTCGGGACCTGTAAACTTTTAGGGCCTCTTGCAGAAGCATTGTGGCCCGAAGCCTGCAACATGACATGCTCGGGAAGCTGGTCTTAAAGTAGACGTAAACATCCTTAGAACGCAGACAAAGCTTGCCCTAAACCGTAAACCCCTAAACCCTAAACCCGCAGGTGCTCTCTGTGCAGCGGTGGAAACTCATCCCTCAAGCTGACACCCTAAACCCTAAACCCTAAACCCTATGCTGGAGGACCCAGCCTGAGCCCACAGAAGCCTAACAAAAACCTTACAAACCCCAAAACTCCGCTGAGCCCCAGAACCCTGCAACAAAGATGCCCCTAACCCCACAACGCTGAAACCGTAAACCCAAAACCCCTAAACCCGAAACCCTAAACCTCTAAACCCTAAACCCTAAAACCCACACCTAGGGAAGAAGGCTTTACCCCTAAACCCTACACCCTAAACCCTAAACCCTGAACCCTAAACCCTAAACCGTAAACCCTAAACCCTAAACCCTAAACACGCACACACACACACACCCTAAACCCTAAACCCTAAACCCTAAACCATGAACCGAAGCCAGGGCACTGCACGGACAGCCAGGGCTCCCCGAGCTCAGCGCCAACGAAGAGCTCCCGGGAGGCCTGCTCCTGTCTCGCTTTTTTAGGGTTTTGGGTTTTAGGGTTTGGGTTTTAGGGTTTAGGGCGGTTTAGGGTTTAGGGTTTCAGGGTTTAGGGTTTTAGGGTTTGGGCTTTAGGGTTTAGGGATTCAGGGTTTAGGGTTTAGGGTTTTAGGGTTTGGGTTTTAGGGTTTAGGGGTTTAGGGTTTGGGGTTTTAGGGTTTGGGTTTAGGGTTTAGGGCGGTTTAGGGTTTAGGGATTCAGGGTTTAGGGTTTAGGGTTTAGGGTTTTAGGGTTTTGGGTTTTAGGGTTTGGGGTTTTAGGGTTTGGGCTTTAGGGATTCAGGGTTTAGGGTTTAGGGTTTTAGGGTTTGGGTTTCAGGGTTTTGGGTTTAGGGTTTTAGGGTTTGGGTTTTGGGTTTTAGGGTTTAGGGTTTAGGGTTTAGGGTTTCAGGGTTTAGGGTTTTAGGTTTTAGGGTTTGGGTTTTAGGGTTTAGGGTTTGGGTTTTAGGGTTTGGGGTTTCAGGGTTTGGG